TGTAAGATTGGAATTGAGCCTTTAGGCAAGAGCTCACGTTAAGCCCCTTCAGTCAAATGTTTGCCTGTCATTATGAATGCAATATTTTCCGGTGGTGAAAATCAATATACCTAGAGTCACGGCAGGAGAGTTACCGATAGCCCTGATACACTCCAATTATACCAAATATTGTGGTCATGCCCACCTTAGTCCCAAAAATATGGTAAATGTATATACCTTGAGATTACGAACTTAAGCTCGAGAATAAAATCAACAAAACAAAGACATTTCTACCTGTTTTAAGCAGTGAGCAAAGTATTTCCGTCGGTTGCTGCAACGACTGCAACGTTTTTCTCTTAACTTGTTTGCCGGCCAACGCTTTGCATAAACTCAAAGACCTATACCATGTACATACATTAAAGAGAAAAAGACCCACAGCACATAATAACACCTGTTTTATGAAGTCTACAGTAATATTAAAATATTAATATATGACCGGCACTCTCTTTAAGAAACATACAGAACTGGATCTGACGATATGGACTTAGTTCTTCATCCATATCTAGTTCCTGAATACACCTTTTCGGGTAAGAATTGCCTCTGCAATGCATCACGCTTTTTGTGAGTAAGCTATTATACCCTATTTCAGGGTATAAGCAACTAGTTCCGAATAATAAACAATGCTATTTTAATTAAATTTATGTGCACAAATTGCCTGCAGAGTTACAACAACATGAACAGCAAAGCAACAAAATAAAACTACAATTATATGAACAACAATGGAATGCAGCAGTTACAACTAAAGCTGCCCGAAAACTATTTCAGAAACTAGTTGAAGGCTTTTTTGTAAGCCAGCAATTTTTTGAACAGCATCTCTGCTGACGACATTTCAATAGCCATTTTTTTCTTGGCCAATGCAATGAAAGTTTTCATGCAAAGCCATTGAAGAGATTTCAGTTTAAAATTTGTAAAATTAAATGTTAACAACGAGGTACGAAATCACTTTATTGCGCTCGCTGACCAAGTTTATAAACTCAAATTATCAATTTCTATGAAATCGATCAAAAAAATCGAGCAAAAGCTTTTATGCCAGCCAGTACTTTATTTATTTTTAAGTATTTTATTTTTTCCTTTTTTTTTTTTTTTTTTTTTTGCTTTTAGGCAGACATCTTGTGTGTTTCACAAGTTTTGCAGGAAGTGCGTTGTATTCTTATATGTATATTTTCATGAAAATATACGATTCGAAAATGTATTTATCTTTTTTTGTCGATATCTCCTCCTATATTTAATGTATTGATAAAAATCGGCTTTAAGACATACATAGTTTTCTAAGCATAGCTCAAAAATTAACACGGCTTTTTGAACTTAATAAGTTCTCGTATATACTAAGGAAAAATGTATATATTTGAGTAACCTCTTCTCCTTATCCCTTAAATTGAATGTTCTTTAAATATGCACGCATTTGGAAAACTTACTTCGGATTATAATAAAGGTCGGACCATAACATCGAATATAATATATTTGCTAACTGAGGCATCGACAAACGACAAATCTAACTTACTTAAGCTAAAACTTCAGTGTGTATTTCAGTATATACTGAGTACACGATGTCTTTTTATCAGGCGCATTCTAGTACTTTTGTGTGACTTATGATTCTGGGTAAACCTGCAGCAGCATATCTATATATTAACAACTCGAGTCGCATTACTGTAAAGAACTTAACTTAAAGATGCACGCTTATCATTCCTAATTATGTTTCTTTGCTCATAAAATGTACATTATATTAAATGTATGGCCCTTTGATGGTTTTCCTTTCATCAGCCAAGCAAAAATAAAATCTTTCTGTTGGAACTGCATCTTTCATTTCTCGAAGTTCTTGCTTCTGTCGCCAACTTGTAATCCTGCTCATACCCTTCACTTAAGAGCCAAACTCATACACATTTGTATAAACATATATACAAAGCCGGAGACCTGCTCATAATTACCCTGTAGATTACACATTTTGCCTAACAAGGCCCATTCATTAATGTCATCCAAAAGAGCAACAGCAGCAACGTCTGAAAATCTGCAACATTTTGTTGACACACCCACCGGACGGCAAACGGACCACGTTAATGACCCACCCCACTGTCCCCTACTCATAATATTGCAGTTGTGCAAATGCCATAAAGAAGAAAAGGCAAAAAAGCAAAAATGGAGACCAGCAAAAAGAAACTGACGCAACAGCAGCAGAGCCGGTGCCAGGACGTGCTCCTCTGGCTTTTTGGCGTAAGGACGCAACGATTTGAATAGCACACACACACACACACACACAAAGAACACACGCACACACAGGGTCTCACTTTTGCGCTAGTTAAAATTTCCGAAAATTTGCCGCTGCAGGTGTAACCAATTTGATGCCATTCCAGTTGCCTCGGTTGGAAATTGAAGAGCCGTGTTGCTGCTTGCAACAGCAACAGCAGCAGCAACAGCAGCAGCTGCGGCACTCGACACCACTCATTGCCCTGCCCAGAAAACACTCGAGAATGTCACACAGCAGGTAAAATTAATCTAGTCGGGAGTGCCCAGCTACCTAGCGCCAAGCGGCCGTTACAGACATTTCAAGTTTCATCCACACATACACAAAAACACACACACACACACAGAGACGCACACGCCGCAAGCTTTCCCGTCCTTTCGGTGTTTATTGTCCGAGCTCTATGAAATTTTGAGGGCATTTATTTGGCCCAAAGCTATATCTGCAAAAGTGTGTTTTGTTTACAATGTTTCGAGCAACGTGCGGTCTTAAAAAAAGGAAAATATTCCGAATCTGTGTAAGGTATTACAAGAGACTACATACCTCAAACTCTCCTGATAATACCCTGTTTTTAAGGTTACTTCTGCGATTTATATACTTTAGAATTTCAAGTCACTAGCTCATAAAATGTCAGAGATCGACAATAAACTAGGCTAGAGCGACTTAACCTTTAGTCTTGATTAAAAATATCTAGCCTTATGGCGTCGGCTTATACACACATTTGCACAAGGCACATTATACCCTTTACACAGATTATAGGGCATAAAAAGTATAACGACGTCAGCAGCAAGCCTGCCCCTGATCCAACCCATCCCACTGAAACCTAAAGCCTCGTATGGTTGCTTGCAACGTGTTGCTAAGGCGGGGTAAACACAATCATGCCAAGTCCAGTTCGTCAGCTGGGCCCTTGCCATTGGGCAGGGCAGGCAACAATGCAGCTAACCAGGAAAACAACCTTATTGTCATTTTGATGATCTATTGCAGCACTCCCCATCGTTGTGCTGGCTTTATGATTGTATGTTAGCATATCTCTCTTTCTCACTCTCCCACTATGAATCTCTGTCTCTATGTCAATTTCCCACTGTGTATCAGTGCAATTGCGCTCATTGCCATAATCCCGAAGCATTATTACCCACTCGTTGTCCCACATCTACGTTGTTGGCTTTACAAATGCAACATTCTACACATTACACATACGTCCCGTTGGCTGCTAACTTTTATTGCCCGGTCGCAACGTTAAGTCGAATTTATGTTGATGCTATACTCTATCTCCTTCTCTTCGACTGTCTCTGGCTCTTCCTTTTAGAGCGGATTTTGCTTTGGCGTTTGGGTTTCTCTTGGTTTTATTGGGTGGGACATACGTTTTTGATTTTTTTATTACATTTTTTTTTTTGGCTACCAGCGCCTTAATTGACGTGCTCAGCTCGTCGCCAGTTTCAATTTTGAACTTGTCATGCGCCATCTCTGTCTGCCTGTTCTGCTATTTGCACTATTTCTCGTGTATTTGGTATATATGTGTATATATATATTTTATCTATATATTTTCGCTGCTGGCTGTCGCAAACAAAAAGTTGTTAACTTTTTTTGCCTCAGCTTATCCAGCACATGTGACTGGGATTTCCCGCTGCTCCCCGACATAGTTATATTTCCCTCCTCTAAAGTCTGGTCTGGTCTGGTCTGAGCCATTCTGTTTTAATGGCCAAAACTAAGCACCTCGCATACATGTGCGAAAATACATGAAATGTGAACAAGTTGGAGCTTTTATTTTGACACATGATATGACGCACAGTGGAACCGTTTGTCAAAAATCATAGCTTCTTTAAAGGATAAGATATTGTCAAAACGTTCACGTTCAAAGATCAAAAATGCAATTATTTTAGCGAATGGTTTCCTAAAATTTGTTACGCTCTCCTGCAATTATTTTAGCGAATGATTTCCTAAAAATTGTTTAGTTTTCCGTCCCAAGGCCCCACAGTGCGACTGGCCAAACCAAATGAAATGCTATGAAATGTTTTGACAAATAGTTGAAACTGGAAATAAACTTTAGTTATCAAAAACGCACACAGTCCAATTGATTATGGAAAGATTAGAGCCTCAATAGCAGATGCGGCTCGTGTTCAGTTTTGCAACGCCGAAAACAACAGATGTTATCACAACACATTTTCTTTTTAATCATTTTTTCGCATAATTTCCATTGTTTCATTTTGCAGCCTCATAATAAGTTGTTATAATCTGAAACTATTGTTCATTACAAACAAAAGCAACAATTTGAAATTCACTAATATCACTAATAGAAGTGCAATATTCACTTGGAGATACCCTTTTATTTGGTATAAAGTACATTTTTAATGCTCTTTTATTTTAATCCCCTACGGGACATCTTAAAATTTGTGCATTGTTGCCGAAGCGTGGGAGAATGGGCCTTCTTTTGGAGTTGTTAAACTTATTTTTAAATATTTTTATAAGTAAAGAAAAACCAACTAAATTGCTCATTAGTTGTCTTGATGCATTTGTGATGCAAAACCTGTATAGAGTCAAATGGAGATGGTTTTCATGGGCTTCTAAAAATTTGGACAAGATTCCCTTCCTGAGCTCATGAAAATAAATATACTCCAACAACCAAATTATCTTAATACAGGGTATAAGAACAGAAACAGTTACAAATTTTCTGGGTTTTTTATATGTTGGTGTTGTTACAAATATTTTCTATGTTTTTTTCTTGCAGCTTACAAATTGAAACCATGCAAAACTAAATTGCTACTGCAAAAATGTGAGCAGCCACTGGGGAAAGGAGCCAAAGCAGCAAAAGAAACCCGAAACGAATACAGAACAAAACCAAATAATACACAATAATAATAATAATAAGAAAGAATATTCCCACAGTTGGCCACTGGCCAGTGAAATGCAGCGCCAAAGACTGTATCCACAATAATGTAAGGCAATAAAAGGCTAGTAAAAGTCTAGTTGAGGGGGAGGTAAACATTTGCGAAGCAAACAATGCAAACTAATAAAGCACTTAAGAGGATTCTTCTTGCAGACAGCAAAAGCAACAGCAAAAGCAACAATCAAACGGGCCACTGGGCGTATGATTAACATTGATAATCGGCAAAGAATTTTCATTATTTACGCCGAGCGCCATGGAACGTGAAATGTGCCGAAGGCGTGGTTTAATTACTAATAAATGCATTAAATATGCTCAAACCACAACAACAACAACAACTGCAGCAACTGCAACAACAACTACATCTGCAACATCAGCAACAACAACGCCGCTAACGGCAAATGGAACAACAACCACTGGGCCAATACTGGAAGTGGCGCTTAGCAGCTCAACCACGAAGCCATTAACGGACATGCAACGAAACCACCTGCTAAAGATGCCAACTAAAACAGCAACAACAGCAACAACAACAGCGACAACGACAGCAACCAAAACAAAAGGAATACCAACAACAGCAAATTGTGCAAACTCAGCAGCAGCAGCCGCAGCAGCAGCTGCAGCAGGAGCAACAACAACAACAACAGCAGCAGAAAGCATTGCCAGGACATTAAGGACATTGGTACACAGCTGGCCACAGTCTGGACTGCTCTTGACGCTCTGCCTCAGCCTGAGCCTGGTGTGCGTCAGCGAAGCGGGCTTCGCCTGCCTCAGCAACCCGTGTGTATTTGGCGTCTGCATCGATGGCCTGAACAGGTGAGTCAAGTCCTCCATATGCTGCTGCAGCAGCAGCAACTAAGTTGAATCCTTGCAGCCATTGCTTATTATCGCCAAGCCAATAAACCCCGTTCAACACATTTCGAGTGGGCAATAAACTTGCACCACTTGAGAGCCAGCAGCACCAGCAGCAGTAGCTCCCTTCACTGGGCATCGATAGCCCAAGCAGCACTGCAGTCTGGTCCAACCCCTTTGCCCCTTAACCCCATGCAAAAGGCAAGCATGTTGATGCCGCCACTTTGCAGGCAAATGAATTTGCCACACAGTTAACCCCGCCCGCACCCCTCAAATTCACCAATACTCTCTTATCTGGCCGCTCTTGCCTTTTTCTGCATGCCCCTCTTTTAAATGGGGCCAAGCTGCGGCCAAGCAGTGGGTGCCACTTCAGTGGGTCGCCCATTGAGGAGGGCTTTCAATTGCATAATCCGCGCATTATTAACATAGAGCGTGCCCGATGCACATCCTTGGTCACAGTAAATTATGTAGCTAATGTAGCATATTCTTTAAAGTCTATACATGCTCCACACTAGGTCTTGCGAATTGCATATATTAACATTTGTGGAGATAAGTAGATAGATCACAATATAAAACAAATTAAAAGTAAAACATATATTTAAATAACATATATAGCAAATTGTCCAAAAAACAGGATTTCGATATCGATAATTATCGATTACTTAGAAACGGGGCAATATCGGAAACAAACTCGATCTCCGCGGGGGCTAGGAGGACCTACAGTCTCTAGCTCTTATAGGTTCTTCATACGGACGGACGGACGGACGGACAGACAGACGGACATGGCTAGATCGACTCGGCTATTGATGCTGATCAAGAATATATATACTTTATAGGGTCGGAGATGCTTCCATCTGCCTGTTAGATACATTTGCACAAATACATTATACCCCTTTTACCCATTTTCAATGGTTTTAGGGTATAAACATAGGCACACACATACACACGCTGCTGCGTAGCTTGCGACTGCTACTTAACTCAAGATTTATTTCTTTATAGCGTCCCACTATAAAGTCCCATCCCTACGAATTGTCAGCGCATAAGTGTGGCTCTCAAATTAAAATGAATTAAAAATTAGGCCAAAGATGAAACCGTTAAAACATTGATCTTTATATATAAAACTGTTTGTCCTGACTGACTGACTGACTTACTGATTGGTGATCAACGTTCATGCCATATGTGAAAATGGTAGCCTCAAATATCCTATATAGACTTAGGTCCAAGTTTCGATCCCCTACAACTCGGTCAAATCTCTTCCGATTTTCACCAGAATTGGCTTTTTGGTCATTATTTGGCCTCTAGATAAATTTGGCATTTAAATCTAGCAACATTATTTTTGGTCCAAATTCATGTGGAAATAGTACCCTCAAATATCCTATATAGACTTAGGTTAAAATTTCGCACCCCCATAACTCGGTCAAATCTCTTCCGATTTTCACGAGGTTTGGCTTTTTGATCATTATTTGCCCTCTAGATAAATTTGGCATTTAAATCTAGCAACATTATTTTGGTCCAAATTCAAGTGGAAATGGTCCCCTCAAATATCCTATATAGACTTAGGTTAAAATTTCGATCCACTATAACTCGATCAAATCTCTTCCGATTTTCACGAGGTTAGGCTTTTTGATCATTATTTGGCCTGTAGATAAATTTGGCATTTAAATCTAGCAACATTATTTTTGGTCCAAATTCAAGTGGAAACGGTGCCCTCAAATATCCTATATAGACTTAGGTTAAAATTTCGCACCCCCATAACTCGGTCAAATCTCTTCCGATTTTCACGAGGTTTAGCTTTTTGATCATTATTTGGCCTCTAGATAAATTTGGCATTTAAATCTAGCAACATTATTTTTGGTCCAAATTCATGTGGAAATGGCACCCTCAAACATCATATATAGACTTAAGTCAAAATTTCGATACCCTATAACTCGGTCAAATCTCTTACGATTTTCACGAGGTTTGGCTTTTTGATCATTATTTGGCCTGTAGATAAATTTGGCATTAAAATCTAGCAACATTATTTTTGTTCAAAATTCATGTGGAAATGGTGCCCTCAAATATCCTATATAGACTTAGGTTCAAATTCCGCACCCCAATAACTCGGTCAAATCTCTTGCGATTTTCACGAGGTTTGGCTTTTTGATCATTATTTGGCCTCTAGATAAATTTGGCATTTAAATCTAGCAACATTATTTCTGGTCCAAATTCATGTGGAAATGGTACCCTCAAATATCCTATATAGACTTAGGTCAAAATTTCGATCCCCTATTACTCGGTCAAATCTCTTCCGATTTTCACGAGGTTTGGCTTTTTGATCATTATTTGGCCTGTAGATAAATTTGGCATTAAAATCTAGCAACATTATTTTTGTTCAAAATTCATGTGGAAATGGTGCCCTCAAATATCCTATATAGACTTAGGTTCAAATTCCGCACCCCAATAACTCGGTCAAATCTCTTGCGATTTTCACGAGGTTTGGCTTTTTGATCATTATTTGGCCTCTAGATAAATTTGGCATTTAAATCTAGCAACATTATTTTTGGTCCAAATTCAAGTGGAAATTGTGCCCTCAAATATCCTATATAGACTTAGGTTAAAATTTCGCACCCCCATAACTCGGTCAAATCTCTTCCGATTTTCACGAGGTTTGGCTTTTTGATCATTATTTGGCCTCTAGATAAATTTGGCATTAAAATCTAGCAACATTATTTTTGTTCAAAATTCATGTGGAAATGGTGCCCTCAAATATCCTATATAGACTTAGGTTCAAATTCCGCACCCCAATAACTCGGTCAAATCTCTTGCGATTTTCACGAGGTTTGGCTTTTTGATCATTATTTGGCCTCTAGATAAATTTGGCATTTAAATCTAGCAACATTATTTTTGGTCCAAATTCAAGTGGAAATTGTGCCCTCAAATATCCTATATAGACTTAGGTTAAAATTTCGCACCCCCATAACTCGGTCAAATCTCTTCCGATTTTCACGAGGTTTGGCTTTTTGATCATTATTTGGCCTCTAGATAAATTTGGCATTTAAATCTAGCAACATTATTTTTGGTCCAAATTCATGTGGAAACGGTGCCCTCAAATATCCTATATAGACTTAGGTCCAAATTCCGCATCCCCTACAACTCGGTCAAATCTCTTGCGATTTTCACGAGGTTTGGCTTTTTGGTCATTATTTGGCCTCTAGATAAATTTGGCATTTAAATCTAGCAACATTATTTTTGGTCCAAATTCATGTGGAAATTGTGCACCCTCAAATCATCATATATAGACTTAAGTGCAAAATTTCGATACCCTCATAACTCGGTCAAATCTCTTCCGATTTTCACGAGGTTTGGCTTTTTGATCATTATTTGGCCTGTAGATTCTAGATAAATTTGGCATTAAAATGCTAGCAACATTATTTTTGTTCAAAATTCATGTGGAAATGGTGCCCTCAAATATCCTATATAGACTTAGGTTAAAATTCCGCACCCCCATAACTCGGTCAAATCTCTTGCGATTTTCACGAGGTTTGGCTTTTTGATCATTATTTGGCCTCTAGATAAATTTGGCATTTAAATCTAGCAACATTATTTCTGGTCCAAATTCATGTGGAAATGGTACCCTCAAATATCCTATATAGACTTAGGTCAAAATTTCGATCCCCTATTACTCGGTCAAATCTCTTCCGATTTTCACGAGGTTTGGCTTTTTGATCATTATTTGGCCTGTAGATAAATTTGGCATTTAAATCTAGCAACATTATTTCTTTTCCAAATTCATGTGGAAATGGTACCCTCAAACATCATATATAGACTTAAGTCAAAATTTCGATACCCTATAGCTCGGTCAAATCTCTTACGATTTTCACGAGGTTTGGCTTTTTGATCATTATTTGGCCTCTAGATAAATTTGGCATTTAAATCTAGCAACATTATTTTTGGCCCAAATTCAAGTGGAAATGGTACCCTCAAATATCCTATATAGACTTAGGTTAAAATTCCGCACCCCCATAACTCGGTCAAATCTCTTCCGATTTTCACGAGGTTTGGCTTTTTGATCATTATTTGGCCTCTAGATAAATTTGGCATTTAAATCTAGCAACATTATTTCTGGTCCAAATTCATGTGGAAATGGTACCCTCAAATATCCTATATAGACTTAGGTCAAAATTTCGATCCCCTATAACTCGGTCAAATCTCTTCCGATTTTCACGAGGTTTGGCTTTTTGATCATTATTTGGCCTCTAGATAAATTTGGCATTAAAATCTAGCAACATTATTTTTGGTCCAAATTCAAGTGGAAATGGTACCCTCAAATATCCTATATAGACTTAGGTTAAAATTTCGCACCCCCATAACTCGGTCAAATCTCTTCCGATTTTCACGAGAATTAGCTTTTTGATCATTATTTGGCCTCTAGATAAATTTGGCATTTAAATCTCCAAATTCATGTGGAAATGGCACCCTCAAACATCATATATAGACTTAAGTCAAAATTTCGCACCCCCATAACTCGGTCAAATCTCTTCCGATTTTCACGAGGTTTGGCTTTTTGATCATTATTTGGCCTCTAGATAAATTTGGCATTTAAATCTAGCAACATTATTTTGGTCCAAATTCAAGTGGAAATGGTCCCCTCAAATATCCTATATAGACTTAGGTTAAAATTTCGATCCCCTATAACTCGGTCAAATCTCTTCCGATTTTCACGAGGTTAGGCTTTTTGATCATTATTTGGCCTGTAGATAAATTTGGCATTTAAATCTAGCAACATTATTTTTGGTCCAAATTCATGTGGAAATGGTGCCCTCAAATATCCTATATAGACTTAGGTTAAAATTTCGCACCCCCATAACTCGGTCAAATCTCTTCCGATTTTCACGAGGTTTGGCTTTTTGATCATTATTTGGCCTCTAGATAAATTTGGCATTTAAATCTAGCAACATTATGTTCAAATCTCCATATATAGACTT